GTGAAAAGACTTGAAAGACTGCCACAGAGGAGACAACAATGATGCAGGCAATGACTGTTAGGATGCTGAAGATCAGGCATCTGATGTTCAGGTATTTGGCAATGGAGGCATAGGTCTGGGCTCAATCACATTGCCCATCATCTCCTTGTTCCTGAACTTCACAGAGTAGGCACAAACAATGAAACCCAGGCACATTCAAGAAGAGTGCATTGAACAGGGACCAGACCATGTGGTCAGGCACAGAGACCTCTCCAGGCATGTTGATCACTGAGGTTTTCACCACAGCTGAGTTGTACTCCCCTTTATTGTCTCATAGCTTGGGGAAAGTCCAGCAATGGTGATCAAGAAGGCTTGAGGATTACAGTTCATCAACAATTGCCTAGAGGATGGCTGCTAATACCCTGGCTCTGTAAACCTGCCCTTTCTCTCTTGCTCCTTTATTTATATGAATCTTGGTCGTAAGCTACAGAAACTAATTCTGACAACTCTAAGCAGAAATGAGTTTGTGGAAGACAGCTGTTAGCTCCTGGGGCTGTGGAAGAGTAATGGCTTCATGAAGACCCCATTGCTTCTGCTAGGCCCAGTAGCTACAACAGACACCACAAAAATGGGACAGAGATGCCACCATTTTTTTCTGTTTTCTCACTTTTTATAAAGATTTTATTTATTTATTTATTTATTTATTTATTTATTATGTATACAGTGTTCTGCCTGCGTGTATGCTTGCAGGAAAAAAGAGAGCACCAGGTCTCATTACAGATGGTTGTGAGACACCATGTGATTGCTGGGAATTGAACTCAGGACTCTGTGAGAGCAGCCAGTGCTCTTAACCTGTGAGGCATCTCTCTAGCCCCCTGGAACTCACTTTGTAGACCAGGCTGGCCTTGAACTCACTGAGATCCACCTGCCTCTGCCTCCCAAGTGCTGGCATTGAAGGTGTGTGCCACCACTGCCCAGCCTATGCCACCATTTTAAAAACTGGGTTTATGGGTCTGATTGGAAGTCCTAAATCATGTGCCCAGGTCTTGGCTTTAAGGAAGGCTGGGAAAGGAAGGTAGAAAGAGGTATTTTCAGCTTCTTTCAGGGACATAAGATCTGTCTCAGTTTGGTTCCACTGACTCCTGAGAGTTCTTCTCTGACCTCCACACACATTGAGTGTCCCAAGTGTGAAGATGTACACACACACACACACACACACACACACACACACACACACACACACACACACACTCAAATAATTTAAAAATTAAAAATGGAAAGAATTTCAAAATAACAATGCCTGAAGTTCTCCTCATGGGACACCTGTGTGACCGCACAGGTTAATGATCACAAAACCTACCCCTGTACTTGAGAGTATGGGATGGGGTCCCACCTGTTTTTTGTTATCATTCCACACCAATGAATCAAAAGGGCCCCAATTCAGAGGAGCCCCAATTCAGAACCTTGGTTGCTTATCCTACTATCAATGTAAATTTAAACACTGCTGCAGAGACCCAGCCCCTTATTGGACACCACCTTCCAGGTCACAAGAGAATCTGTGGCAGAACTGAGACCACACACACCCTCCAGATCCCATCTGTTCAGATGATGAGGGGGAATCCATGGTCCTTAGCACCCTCCTCCCAGGTATGTCCCAGTTCTTCGATGTTCCACAGGTTCCAAGGGCGCTATCTTCCCACTATTTCTAGGCGGAGAGGTGGTCATGTCAGCAGTACCAGGAGGCATTATAATCAAAACAGTAACTGTGGGATCTTCCTCAGTCAGGAACTTTGGTGTCTGCTTCCTTGACCCTGGCATATCCACTAGGAGCAGGCTGCACAACTCAGAGCTTCTTATATTTTGTTCTTTAAAATGCCTCCAGCTGCTGCTTAATTGGTATGTTTAATTGGCAATGCTAATTGCCTCATAACTATAGCGAGAACTTCCGTACGGTTAGGATATCTTTATTCAGATAAACACCAGCCAAACGCAAGCCAGAGCGTGCCCAGAAGCAGCAAGCTAGGAGGCCAGAGCCAAGGGGCCCTCCACGTACCTGCGGCCCCTTAAAATTGCCCCCACGGCTGGGGGTTGGTGGTGCACGCCTTTAATCCCAGCACTCGGGAGGCAGAGGCAGGAGGATCTCTATGAGTTCGAGGCCAGCGCCAGCCTGGTCTCCAGAGCGAGTGCCAGGATAGGCTCCAAAAATACACAGAGAAACCCTGTCTTGAAAAAACAAAAAAGAAAACAAAAAAAAAGAATTGCCCCCGCGTCATCCTTAACCTCCCCTGACCACGCCCTCACGGGCATGGCCAGGCACACCTGTAGGGGCTCCTAGGAGGCGGGGCTACAGTGTCTTCCTACACATAACCCTTCTTTTACAAATGTGTGTTGGGGGGTGGTAGAAAGATAGATCAGAGGGTCAGAGTGATTCCTGCACTGAAGGCGTCCCTGAAAATATCATGGCAGACAGGAAAACAAACCACAAAGAGATGAGAATGATCCAGGCAGTGGTGGTGCACTCCTTTAATCTCAGCACTAGGTAGGCAGAGGCAGGTGGATCTCAGTGAGTTTGAGACCAGCCTGGTCTATAGAGCGAGTTCCAGGACAGCCCGGCTACACAGAGAAACCTTGTCTTGAAAAAAAAAAAAAAAAAAAAAAAAAAGAAGAAAGGAAGGAAAGAAGGAAGGAAGGAAGAAAAGGGTGAGAATGAAAACTTGGTTCAACCCGACTTAATAATCAGGCTGGTCAAAATTCTAGAGAGTCTAATGCCAAGCAGTTTGTTGTACACATATTTAAACACAACAGAATTTGGAAAAAGTTTCCAGGCAACAGTCATTCCAGTTCCAGGTGCACAATAAATAAGTTTAAGGCATGACTGCATAGAAACACCTTTACTAAGTAAAGGTCAAGGACAGTGATTCTCAACCTTCCTAATGCTGCAGCACTTTAATGCAGTTTCTCATGTGTGGTGACCACAACCATAAAAATTATTTCATTGCTACTGTTATAAATTGTGATGCAAATTTCTGATATTCCACCTCTGTGAAAAGATCATTCATTCCACAGCCACAGACACAAAGGGGTCAAGACCCACCAGTTGAGAACCATTGGCCTAGGATCTGGTATGATCTCTGACAGAGATAGTATAGAGGTCAGCAGACTATGAAAGTACACGTGACAACTCTCCTAATGATGGGTTCTATTGACTGAAAGATAAAGATAAAGGTCTAGGGAGAGAGCGTCTGGGATATTCATTCTGAGGGATTTTGGTGAGGTCTGGCTCTACAGAGAGCAAAAGGTTACCGTGTCATTAACAATAACTACTCCCAGCTTTCTGGGTGAAATGCAGGGTTTTTATTTCCTCCATTGAGGAGACATCCCTGAGTGCTTAAGTTTGGATCCCAGCATCCACATGGAAAAAAGAGAGAAAAATAAAAATAAATAAACAGGAGTTGGAGAGATGGCTCAGAGGTTAAGAGCACTGGCTACATTTCCAGAGGACCCTGGTTCAATTCCTAGCACCCACATGGCAGCTCACAATTGTCTGTAACTCCAGTTCCAGGGAATCTGAAACCTTCAGACCAATGCACATAAAGTAAAATTTTTAAATGATTATAAATAAATACTAAATAAACAGTTATCACCAGGGCTTATAGTCCCAACACTTGGGTTGGGGGGCAGAAAAATTGCTGGAGATTGCTAACTTCTAGCCTAGCTCCAGGTTCAGTAAGAAACAGTCTTTTTTTGTTTGTTTGTCTGTGTTTGTTTTTGGAGACAGGGTCTCTCTATTTAGCCCTAGCTGTCCTGGAACTCCCTTTGCAGACCAGGCTATCTTAGAATTCACAGAGACTGCTGGATATTGATGGCTCACGCCTTTAATCCCAGCACTCAGGAGGCAGAGGCAGGCAGATCTCTGTGAGTTGAGGCCAGCCTGGTCTCCAGAGCGAGGACAGGGCAGCGAAACCCTGTCTCGAAAAACCGAAAAATAAAAATAAAAATAAAAAATATTTTCCTTGTTATGGCAGTCAATGCCTGTGGCTTTCTGCTGGCTAACTAAGGGGAGAGGGTCATGAATTAGAGGCCAGCCTGGTCTACGAGGTAGAGCAGAAAGGTGAGGGGCCCAGAAATGGAGGCATCCGCAATCGGCATTCTCTATAAATTTAACTATGGGACTTGATTACATATGGGCAGAAGGAGCCCCAACTCTTAGGTGATTGGAAAAGCCAGTAATGTTTATGAAATATTATTAAATTATAGTAAATAGATCTGTAGTCCAGGTTGACCTTATATTCTCCATTCTCCTTGTCCTGCCATCAGAGTGCACAGGCACGTGCCTCCTTTGAGTTTAAAAACAAAAACAAAACAAAAAGCTCTGTCTGAAATCCGGGAAGCTATTCGACTGAAGGCAAAAATCCTATGAACTTGGGACTTAAAGGGAAAAAAAAGTTCCTTTTTCAGGCCAGTAAGATGGCTCAGTGGGTAAATGTTCTTGCTGGACAAGCTTGACAAGCTGGGCTTTATCCTTGGGACTCCAGCAAAGTTGTCCCACCACCTCCATATGCACTCTGTAGTGTGTGCCTCACCCCCACTAATAAAAAAATAAGTTTCTAAAAGTTCCTTTTGCTTCTGGCTCCCAGCAACCCTGGCTCTTTGAGGCTTAGCACAGAAGCAGGTGCTGGGCGTGGGCCTGGCAGGGGCAGGCTAGTGCAAGGGTGGCTGGCACAGGCACTCTCCATCCTGGGCTGGTCGTGGGAGGACACTCAAAAATTACCCGGGTTCAGCACTGGGTATCTCCTCAGAGGACACAAGGACCACAGGTATTCTTCCTCCCGTCTTTTGATGGTACCACCCTAAACTCCAGGGCCTGGGCAATGAGGTGGGTTTGGGTCTGAAGGAAACAGTGAAACCTTTCCAGCCCTAGGAAACTTTTGTTTTGAAAGATGAAAAGGGAACCCTTAGGGGACTTCCAGGATGACTCTCTGGAGCTTGAGTATAGCCCTAGATAAGGGTTGCTAGGGTTTTTCCAAAGCCAGGCTGCCTATTGTTGTGTGCTTATGACCCATCCTTCTACAGTCCTTTTTCTTTTTCATCCCCCCACCCCCCGTCTCTGCCCCACTCTTATCTCACCCTCAGATTGAGCATGGCTGGAGAGTCCAGGCCGGGCTCTGTCCATCCAGGCCAGAAGAGGCCACAGGACACGACCATCTTCCGGTGAGTTCATGCTATCAGCAAGGAAGGCTGATCGTCCATTTGTTTGAGATGGAAAAGGGAATCTAGAAGGCTCCCTAAGTGTGCTGCCCACCCAGCAACTCAGGCTGCTTGATTCTGTGACTCATTCTTGAGCCTCAGGTTTTGTCTGTTACTGAGGGAACTGATTCAGTGCATTCCACTTTATCAACCCTATGTAACCTGACATCCTCCAGCCTAGAGTCAGGGAGTCCTCTAAGGAGAACCTCTCCTGTGGGGAGTCAGAAAATTTTTTTCTAAATATAGATGTCTAGGGACATTTCTGGATGACAACTTGTCCTTAGCTTGGCATGGCTAAAACAATTTCTAGGAAAACTTATTTATTTAGTTAGTTAGTTTTTGGTTTTTCCAAACAGGGTATCTCAATGGCTTTGGAGGCTATCCTGGAACTAGCTCTTGTAGCCCCCACTGGTCTCAAACACACAGATATCCACCTGCCTCTGCTTCCTGAGTGCTGGGATTAAAGGCATGTGCCACCATTGCCTGGCAGGAAAACTTATTTTTTGTTGTTGCTTTAGAATTTAAAATTTACATTTATTAATTTGTATGTGTGTTGTTCATGCATGTATATACGTGTGTGTGTGTGTGTGTGTGTGTGTGTGTGTGTGTGTGTGTGTGTGTGTGTGTGTGTGTCAGTGCACACAAGTGTATATATTTCATGGCTCCTGTGTGGAAGTCAGAGGACAACTTCAACTTGTAAGAGTTAGTTCCCTTCATCTACTATGTGGGTCCTGGGGATCCAACTCAGGCTGTCAGTGTTGGTGGCACACACCTTTACCCCCTGAGTCACTTTATCCATCTAGTTGTTTTGTATGTGTTTATCTGTATTTTTGTTTTATTTATTTATTTTTGTTTTGTTCTTTGAGACAGGGTTTCTCTGTATTGTTTTGGAGCCTGTCCTGGAACTTTCTCTGTAGACCTGGCCTCGAACTCACTGAGATCCACCTGCCTCTGCCTCCCAAACGCTGGGATTTTGTTTTTTTCGAGACAAGCTTTCTCTGTTTAGCTCTGGCTGTCCTGAAACTCGCTGTGTAGATCGGGCTGGCCTTGAACTCACAGAGATCCCCCTGCCTCTGCCTCCTGAGTGCCAAGATTAAAGGAGTGCACCTCCACCATGTGGCTGTTTTATTTAAGACAGTATTTTTATTCCTTGAAAGTTTCATACCTTTATACAATGTACCCTGATCATATCCATCCACCACTAACTCCCTTCAATTACCCCTAATGCTCCCATCCCATCTCTCTCCCTTCTACTTATTTATTTATTTATTTAATATTTAGACAGGATCTCCCTACTTAACCCTGGCTGGCCTGGAACTAACTCACAGAGATCTTCCTGCCTCTGTTGCCCAAGTGCTGGATTAAAGGTTTGGGTGCACCCTTCCTGGAGATAATGAGTAGAGCAAGGGTTATCCCCCTAAACCAAAAATCCATTTACTGGATTGAGGACAAATCAGATATTAAAATAGTTAAGAACAGGCGCTTGCCTTTAGTGGCACTTGCCTTTAGTCTCAGTACTTGGGTAGTAAAGGCAGTTGGATCTCTGTGAGTTTGTGACCAGCTTCGGCTATATACTGAGTTCCAGGACAGACAAAGCTACATAGTGAGATTCTGTCTGGAACAAAACAAAACAAAATAACAAACAAACAAACAAACAAACAAAAACAGAGCTGGTGTGATGATTCAGTGGGTAAGGGTGCTTGCCACCAAGACTGACAACTTGATCCTAGTTCCTGGGATACTAGGCTTCTCTGTTAAAAGGCTCAGAAGCCATCAATCACACTTCTTTGTTTTTTTTTAACAAGGCCACTTTGAGGCTATTGGGGGCCTGTACAACTGGTCAGTTCTTGACACTTTTGTAGTTAAATTCCCTATTTTTCACTCCGACTTCTGGCCCACGAAGCTTGAATCCAAGTTTGTTAGCCTCTTTCGGAGCGCTTTAAGGGAAAGGTTTGCACGTGGACCGATGGGGACTCAGGCTCTGTTCAGAAGAGCTTCTGGGCATTCAAGATGTGGGCAGGAAGCAAGCAGAAGTGGCTTTCACTGAGACTGGGGAACTTCTAAGAGGTCAAACAAGTTTTTCCCAGTTGATGGGAACAGCACAGTTTGACCCTCTTGGTTTGGATTGCCCTCAGAAGAGCAGGTTTCTAGCACGCGCTTCTCTGAGCACTAAGAAGCTGGACGTGGTCCATGTGGAGGATGTGGGGAAAGGAGTGGTCCACAAGGGCTCCTTTCTGCTCCAAAGTGAAGCCCTGGAAGATTGGGTTTTGCCTATAGAGCCCTCTCTCCTCCCCGCCGCTTGCTCCCCTTTTCCCCCTCCTTTCTCCCCTCCCCCCACCCCTTTGTGTGGGGGAAGTCTCAAGTTTTTAGACAGACTGCAGCAATTAGCCCCAGTGCAATCAGATTGCTCCCCTTGGGAGAAAAAAGTCAAGTACCGGGGTCGCTGCGTACCCGAAGGAACTAACTCAACCCTGAGGTCCCTTCTTGCTTGCGACAGGCGAGACTGCAGGAGTGAATGCGGTAACCCTGCAGTCTCATATCTGGACGAAATAGTCTCTCTTCACACACTCATTTTTGACTATTTAGGAAAATCATTTTAGAAATAAAGGATAAAGACGCAAAGAAAAACAAGTCATGCATTGGCCGGGAATCGAACCCGGGCCTCCCGCGTGGCAGGCGAGAATTCTACCACTGAACCACCAATGCTGTGCTGTAGGATAGTACCTTATTGGTTGGGATGTTTAGTTTCTTCCCCGTTTAGAGTGGAACAGATATTTCTGAAATTCATCATCTGGAGTCCTGGACACACAACACTCCTCTCTCTAATCGGACCCACATGGCTGGGGAGGGCTGCACGCCCCCCACCTTGATCTGTGCCAGCTCGCTCTTTCATTCTCCTACCGGCCGGAATCCGAAGCAGCTCTGAATGGCCTCAACCACCCACCCAGACCTCCAGCAGCCAGGAAGCAGAGGTGGCCGGAAATCTCATCACAGTTCTGGGAACCCTGAAAAGGCGGACCCGCAAGCTGTCCTTCCTTTGGATCTTGGAGTCTGCCTTTGAGCTGTGCACGAAGGCGACAGCACCTGAAGGGATTCAGTTGCTTAACTTTAGACCCTATTCCCAACTCAACATGCTCACCAGCCTCATCCCCGATAGGACTCATTGCGTTATGTATTCGCACCATCCCTTCTTGTACCGAAGAAAAGGAGGGAGAAAGAGAGGGAGGGAACTGCATACTTATTCTCCCGAGTCTACACAGATCTCTTCGTGTGAAGCGGGGTGAAACCGACCTAGAGCCTGGTACCTTTTAGGAGCTTGCCGTCTTCCATGACCAAGGATAGATGGCTTGGCGGCAGCCTTAACCTTTCCTGCTGGCCCCGAGTTTGCTGACCTCTGCATTCTGGTAGTTTCCATGTTAGGACTAAAGTCTCCATACCCTCACTGAGACCTTGGGCTCTGGCTTAGGTTTTCCCTTTCATCCTCTGCCGGACTAAGATCCCGAAGATCAGCAGTGCCTGGCTCAGGCAGAAGAGCCTTTGGAGGGCCAGGCTCTGGCTGAACAGCGAAATGCAGGCGACTGTGGTCTCCCAAAATGACTTTGGGCAAGACCTAGGGTGTCTTCTGGTGAAGAATCCTGACATTCAAAGGAAGAGTGGCAGTTTGGGGTAGGATGGTCAGGAAGGAGTTCAAGGTTAGCCTCAGCTACAAAGGGAGTTTGAGGCCAACCAGGGCTATGTAAGACTGTTGGAAGAAAAGGAGGGAGAAAGGGAAGGAGGGAACTGCATACTTATTCTCCCAAGTTGAGCTGAGGGACAGGTGTCCCTCATTTGTTGCCACAGCAATGGTAACTATGAATTGAACTATGAGTCAAACAGAGAAGGCATACCCTACTAGCTAGTGGGTGGGTTTTCCTGGGGAAGTGGGAGATAGAACTAGTTGACTTAACTGCTCCCTCTTCTCCTGTCTCTTTAGGGTGGATGGAAGCAAGAGAACCCCTCTATTCATCAACCCGGTGCCTGCCAAGAGCCGCAGGGCCCACCTAAGTCCGAGGGTCAAGAAAACCAACAGTCCTTACAAGGCCTGCAGGAACAGCCATCTGCTCCAGGGCCATAGAAAGAGTGAGTGGGGGACACAGGTCTCAGTGTCAGTGCTAGGGAGGAGTTGGGTGTCCTGATCTGAAGGGAGGGACGGTTGAAAAGCCCTGGCAGTGTTGCTCTCATTCCCTGTGGCCTTTGTGTTCACGTGGGCATCAAACCTGCCCCCTCTCTCAGCAGTCCAGACCGAGGAGCTGGATTCCATCAGGATGGAACTGAGTCAGATCAAAGCCCAGGTGGACAGCCTATTGGAGAGTCTGGAGTCCATGGAGCAGCAGAGGCACCAGCACACAGGTCAGGTACTCAAGAGGGTGCCCAGGTCACACTCGAAGTGGGTCCCGGTTTTCCCTGCTCCTGAAGATACCAACCAGCATTGGGGGTTCTGTCTGTGGCTTTCTCTCACCGTAGGCCTCCTTTACCAGTATTACTTCTCCTTCATTTCACCTGACCTTTCCCATGGCCAGAGGACCTCTGTGACATCTAGGTTGTCCTAGTTACACGTGCTCTCCCCCCCACCCCCATGTCTGGAGTCAGAGCAGCTGTCTCATTCTCTCTTGTTCTCTGCAGTTCTAGATTACTGCTAGGCTCCTGGATGAGTCAGCAGGGACCTCCAAACTGACTCCTATTGACTCTCAGAACAGGAACAAAAGATAGTGACGAGAACAGGTGCCCTGGAAGCAAGGCTCCTCCTGCACAAATGCTGAGCTCCAGCAAGGTCTCCAGGGGCCAGAGGCCTACCAAGAGGCTGCTCAGTGGAAAGCACAGACAAGGGGCCACCAGTGAGTGGCCTCTCTCTGAGCAAAGAGAGGGCACTTTGGCTTCTCTAGGAACCTACAGTTGTAGGGTCCAGACAGTGACTTACAACCTTTACCCAAGAGCAATGCCTAGGACAGCCTCCCCCGCTTTAACTCTGGTATGGTTATCTCAGCTCAGCTATACCAGGTGCTACTGCCAGGCATCTGGACACTTAGGTCAGTCTTGGTTTGAAATATCTTCTAGAAAGGAGGCAGAGGAAATCTGAGCTTTGTAGGATACTGTAATTATGTTCCATATTCCAAGACCCCTGATTAGCTTGTTAAAATTTGAATTTCTGTCACTTTTCTAGCCTCATCCCATTGGTTGCCTCTGCGTCTTGGGGCTGCATTGTACCATGCTGCCCAGGGAAGCTGTGGCATACTAATGTGCCTAGGTTGAGATAATCTTAAATCTGAACTGATAAATGACTATTATATCTATGTAGCAGTAAAGGGCCTAAGTTTTCTCTGCCCTCCCATCTCTTCCTCTGCTACTCTTGTCTCACACTGCTTCCCGAGTCTGCTCATCAAGATCAGGGTTGGTAATGGTGAATTCCCTCATGACTTCCTGCCTAATCCAGGCTGGATGGGCTCAGGAGAGTCCACGATGCTGCCTAGGGTCTAAGTCAAAATTGTCCCAGAAAAAGAATGGGCTTCAGGGAAAGAATGTTTGCTCTTGCTTGCTGGTTCTGGGTTTCCAGGCTTCAGTGGTAGTGGGTATGCTTAGCATGGACAATCACCAACACCCCCTCATCCCCCAAAGAATCTAGAATAGTCTCTGACTTAGCAAAGGTCCCAAGACGTAAGAGTAGAAGGGGAATTGGGGGAACCTAGATTTTGGTAGATGACCTCCTCTCCTAAACTATGCCTCCCACTCGCTAAGCCAGCCTCTCCTATTAATCCTACAGGTGAAGAATCAAGCATTGGACCTGGATAGCCCAGAGGTGGGGACCCTTCCAGGCTCCAGTGTTACTTCTTGGATGGCTTGTTTCCTTATTTTGTGTTTTTGGAAGACCGTTGGTCACACCCATGCAACCTGAAGTAACCTTCCTGGGGCTAGGGCAATGCAAGTGGAAGCATGGTTCTGGCAACCCACCCAGAAAACCTCCCAGTGGTTGTGGGTTTAACGTTTGAGGTCTTTTCCATGAGTCCAGGGGTGGGCAGGGTAGGAAAGTCCCACAGCCAGCAGTATCTCACCATCCTCAGTCTTGCAAGAGGACCCCGACAGGGCCCTGAACCCAAAGAGCACTATTAGCCCTCACTGAATGAATGCAGACTGCTTATTTTCCTTCCCCGTGCACCACTAAACCTGGTGTGGAAGCTCTTTTCTTCAGCCACAGTAGTAAACACACTTGTGTCCCTGCACTGACACTGAACTGTGAGATTATGTGTGTACCTACCTAACCAGCCCCTTTTGGTTAAAGCCACCACAATGTGCCCTACAAAGCCATAAGCTACTCTTCAAAATAAGCAGATAAGTTTTATGTCATTTTTTTTTAATCTTGATTTTCACTGGTATACTAACTTCAGATTTGCTCTACAAAGAGTCATGCCAGAAGGGAAAAAAATAAAAATGTATTTCTCCCTCCTGGTCAGGGGCTCCTATGAGGTCCTCATAAGAGGCTGAACAGACCTCTAGGATAGTTACCTGTAACAGTCATACACAGCTGCCTTCAACTCAGCCTCAGTGAAGATCAGGAACCCTACACTCCTGGTCAGTAAAGCCAGCTCTGCCTAAGGAATAGCCAGGCTGTAAATGTGCCACAGTTTTTAGGAGTTCTTCCTCCTCGTAGTTCATTGCTGCCCTAGCCAAGACTGGACAGGAGACACCATATAATGAAGCCAGACCAGGACTCCACTTTTTTTTTTCTTTTTTCCTTTTTTGCAACAGGGTTTCTCTATGTAGCTCTGGCTGCCCTAGAACTCAGAGATCCACCTGCCTCTGCCCCACCAGTGCTGGGTTTTAAAGGTCTGCACTATCACTTCTGCAAAGTCATGGAAACCTCCAGTTATGCTACCCTACTGGCCAAAGAAGGGAGTGACAGGGCTTCTTTCTAGAGCATAATCCTTTCCAGTTACCCAACTCCTAGACATGATCTTGTACTTTAAAGGAGAGGATAGGTGTGCACCCAGATTTCTGAGGCTATTTAACTCTCCTGTCGTTTTGTCGGAGACAGGGTTTCTCTGTGTAGCTCTGGCTGTTCTGACATCTCCTCGGTCTTTTCACCTCAGACACTGCTCCTAGGGCAGGAGGTTTCTCCTCTAAAGCACGTTACTCCTTTTCACTTACAGTGAGCTAAGAGACAGGAAAATTTAAGATAGTACTGACAATACAGTCAATACTGGCAATACAGACTCAACACATGCCCAGTTCAAAACGGCATTGTTTCTAACTGTAGTACCAAGAAAAGCCACAAGATGTATTTTCAGGTATAAAAAAGGTTTTTATGTTTTAGTTCGGGTAGTGAGAAGGCAAAGTCCCTTGTCCATCCTCTCAAAAGAAGCAGTTTATCATACACTGGAGCCAATGGCTGGCCTGCACAGGGTCCATCCCTTACAAGAACACAGCTCATTTACCAGGTAATCCAGCCGAAGTCCTTTCCAACTTGGGAGTAAGGCTGCTAAGGCCCTTTAAACCGTTCCAACACAGCTGTCCAGCGCTTCGGTTCAGTGTGCGCTGCCTCCCACTCTCGTTTCTCAGCTCGGCCAAGGCAGGCGACCAGCAGCCGGGCCGTTTGGGAAAGAAGGACATCAGCAGTCATCCGCATCCTTGTTGCTCGGGTTTTCCAATCAGGACGGGGCGGCGGCGCCCCTCCGGCGGGCAGCTCGCACCAAGCACTGCTGCAGCACTGGGTAGAGGCGCTGGCAGCCTTCCAGGCCCAGGCGCACCGCGTCCGTCCAACTCTCAGTCTGGCCGCCTTCCCCGCTGCCCAGCAACCCGGCCACCTGATTGAGCACCG